TCCCCCCCCCCCCCAATCTGTATGAAGTTTTTAACCATCATTGATGCCAGAGTAATATCTTTCATTTCTGTCACATCTCTCAAGCACTTCACAAAGTTAGATTTTGATTCTTTGGCTGGATTCATTTACCTGATTTTGTGTGTTTGGCTCTACTGATTATCTGAGGACAACACAGGTGCCTTGTCTGTCTACATGAGTCCAGTTGTAGGTTTGGGATTTACTCTGGGTCACAAACTATGTAGGAGCACTATTAATCACTGAAATGCGCTCACTTCTGTGAAGCATGATAGCTCTTAAGCAGCGCAGCAACACTATGCCACAGACTGGACTGGAAAGTTGAGAGGCTAAATATGAAATGTGTTCAGGGCACTTGGATTAGTATCCTGGTACGCAATTGAATGTTTGGAATCTCTTAACTTGTCACTTAAATTGTGAAACTACTCTGTTATTGGTGAAATAGTGTGCTCTTGCTGATGAGTGGTGTTTCTCCTATTCTTTTTTATTTTTACAGACCATGAGAAGATGTTTAAGATGAGTGAGAAGATCTTGCTCCTTTGTGTTGGGGAGGCTGGAGATACTGTCCAGTTTGCAGAGTACATTCAAAAAAATGTTCAGCTCTACAAAATGAGAAATGGTGAGTACAGAACCTAAACTTAAAATGGTTATTTCCCAGGAATATTTTAACGTAATAAAAAAAAAAAATTGCAATTTTTTTTAGCAATACAAATGTGGGAAAATATTCTGGCAGGTTGTTGAAGGCTCAGTACCTGGTACCAAGCATTTTAGACTACAATTTAACTACTTAGTCTGTTAAAAGCACCAAAATGCATTTCTTCATGTTACAATGGCCCCTGAACCTTTTTGTTAATTTTTGTGGTGTTATAATTGCATTCTTTTGAACTTTTCTTACAAGAGCTCTTGTTATTTGTTGTCTGGAATTACTAGTTCAAACAGAAGAAACGAAGATGCATGTTCCAAAAGGGCAATAAAGACCAAAGCAAATAGAACTAACGGTTTACTTGCTGAAATGAGACCTAAAATTAGAGTGTTTCAAAATATTCCATCACATTAACAATAGTAGGTAGGGTTTACAGTCAGCATTTATCTAAAGTAGATATTACATTACATGTGTGAAGTCTGTATAGTGTTTAGGTTTCATTAGTTCAGGTACATATGCTAATGAGGGCATGGTAAGTAGGTAGGGGCATGAATGGTTGTCATTGAATACATCCATATGTATGTATTCGAAGAGATCCCCTACATAATACATGTGAATGGCTCAGCTCTTGTTTCAGTAACTTGTATGTCTTAAATCAATACCATATTTTGGTTCTCCTGTCAGCAGCATGCCCACGGTATAACTGCCCATCAAGTTGACAGGGTTTAGCTTGTACAAAGCAGGGAAAGTTGTTAAAAAAAAAATAAAAGGACTTGCAAGCTGGATTCCTAGTTTTCTATTCCTACCTCTTACGTGGAGTGATTTTTGTTGTTGTTGTTGTTGTTTTGTTTTTGTTTTTTACAGTTGTCATCTAACCTCTTTGTTTTGTATTACCATGGTGCTTAGATGGCCCAGAGATGCCACCATCCAAGGGGTTGTGTAAATACGAGCTAAAAGATGGTACATGCATAAAGAAATTAGTCTAAGTGCAAGGCAAGACAACAGCTGGATGCAAACACATGGGAATGCAGGGAGATGGTATTGCTGAGGGAGATCAGTGATGGTGCCAAAAGGTTTTGTAGGTATCTTTGCAAGGAAGATTTTTTAATTTTAAGGAGCCATTTGAAGGAGAACAGTTAAAATGGCATCACAAATGTTTATGGGGAACTTAACTTCTAAGTGTGACCTGACAACATGAGGAAGCATGCAAGTACAGGTTTTAAAATTTAAGGAGTAGACCCTGGAAGGATGAAGGTGGGGATAGATTATAATGGTCTTGAGAGTGGAGCAAAAACAAGTAACTTACACTTCATGAGACAGAGAAGATGAGGTCCATGGAATGACATAGTGGTGACATGGACAAAATGACAGGTGAAAAGAATGGTCTTTGCAGCATCTGAAAGGGAGAAGCAGCACTCCACTGAGAGGGACTATGCACTGATTGCAGAACATAAGATCACCTAATGAAATATATTATAGAATATTGGAAAATCTTCTCTCCTGTTTTTTACAAGCAGTGCCTATCTCACAGGATGGACTCAAATGCATAGTCTTGCTTCTGGTCATGATGCTAATATTCAGTTTGTGCCAGTCCAGAATGCTAAAGGATTAGTCTTAAGGTCTTTCAGCTGCTTGAATCTGTAGAGTGGTTGCAAAGATTTGAACTCAAGCAGTCTGCAGGTCACATGTATAGATATTATAGATTTCATAGACGTTAGGGGCTAGAAGGGACCTCGTGAGATCGAGTCCAGCCCCCCTGCTGTAGGCAGGAAGTCTGTAGGGATCAAATGATCCCAGCAAGATAAGCATTTCACTCGTCCTATGAACACCCCGCTTTTGTATACTCAATGTACAGATGTTACTGAATTGTGACTGCGTGTCATGAGTGTTTTGTTGAGAGTTGCAGTGCTGTTGGTTGTAGCCATCTTGTTCTAAGGACATAGGTGGACAGGATTCTTAGGGTAGATGTGATATCTTTTATTAGACCAACTAAATAGTTGGAAAAAAGTTCTTTGCAAGCTTTCGGGCACAAACACCCTTTGTCAGTGACTGGGAGACTTATTCACTTATTATTTATAACTGAAGCAATAGTTCAAGAATCTTATGTAACTGCTTATAAAAAAAAAAAAAAAAAATACCCAAGACTGCTAGAAGAAATTTTCTGCTTTAGGGCAGGTTAAAGGTTTTAATAACAAGCACACAGTATCATGTAATAACCTGCTCTGCTACTCTTAACGCAAAGCTTTTCAATTTTAAGTGTCTCAAGTTTATTTATGGAAACCGTTTGCCTTTGGCTCTTTCTTTCTCACATTGTTACAAGTGGTAAAAGTGTGTGTGTGTTTCCTCTAAACAAACTACAGTGGAATTGCAGGTCCAATTATTCATTTTTTAAAGAATGTTTGATACCATGTTCACTTCCAAATACTCCTCCAATGATCATGTCAGTGAAGACAAGATCCTTCTTTTTTGCAGTCTTTGCTGTCAAGAAAGGTCTTTCTGTGGTAGAGTGAAGAAATTTCCCTGTTTCTAAATTCTGAATGACAAACATCTCTAATGTTCCTCTGTGACTTATTTAATGCCCACAGTGTTTTTGTATATTACTTGTATGAAAAAGCCAGAATCCGATTCATAATACTACTAATTTTTTGAGGTGCATCGTTGTGTTGGTTCATACTGTATTGGCACCAATAAAAGGAAAATTGATATTATTGGTAATCAGCTTTATTTGGCTGATGTGGCCGATAAAGTCACCGATTAATGGTGCATGCATGTGTGCAGCCGCAGCATGCTCATGGCTAGCTTGGTGAGCAGTGTCCAACTGATAATTATGTTGTGGAGAAGGGGCATGGAGGGGAGCAGATCAAGGCCCCTGTGGTAAGGGAGAGAGTGGGGCTGGGGCTGCGGCGGTAGGGAGGGCAGAGGACGGAGCCATGAGCAGCTCATTCGGTTGGTGTGGCTCCTGCTGCTGTGCACACCCCTGCTGGAGGCATGGGGGCATATGCCCCCCGCATCTGTGCATGGGGTGAAGGTGGGCTGCCTCTGTGGGCTGGGGGTGGTGCCAGGCTCTTCCCAGCAGTGAAGGGTTGGGCCAGGCTGTGCTCAGGGTGGGCAGTGGCAGCTCTGGGAGGGGGAGCTATTGGGGGGGGGCTACAGCTCCCCCTCCCAGCACTGCTGCCCACCCTGAGGGCATCCTGGCCCTGCCCAGAAGAGCCCGGCGCTGCCTCTGACCCTGGCCCCCAGCAGCAGCCTGCCCTCACCCTGCGCACAGATCTGGGGACACATGCCCCCCATGTCTCCCCTGGGGGGGCACTCCCCCATGTCCCCAGACGAGCTGCTTGTGGCTCCATCCTGTGCCCCACCCCAACACCTGCCCCCACCCCAGCCCCACTCCTTACTCGCCATGGGGGGGGCCTCGATCTGTCCCCACACCCCTTCCCTCCCCTGCCTCTTCCCCCTGCAACAGACTTACCAGCCAGATGCTGTTCTTCAAGCTGCCGGGCTGCATGTTGTTAATCGGATCAGCATCAGCTGATATGGCTCATTAATAATCAGCCGTTGGTATTGGCCCAAAAAATCTTTATTGGTGCACTCCTACTTATTTTTTTGAGGCTTTGTATTTTGATGCCAGATTTAGGCATGAGTTGCATTTAATGCTGTTTTTACATAGGTTAGTATAAATATTTCCAATTTACTCCTGGAAGCTATAGACCTACTATGCCACATAAAAAGCTGCCAGAGCCAGAATGATAATTTCATTAAACTATATTGCCTTTCTGTATACTGTGACGCAGTAGTGAAAGAAAAGCTGTAAAACATAATGGTGTATCTGCACTTCAGTTGCTTGTTTGCCATTGACTTGCACAGTGGGGACCTGGTGCAAGACTAAGACTCCTTGGCACTCCAGTCACAAAACAAAAATATTTATGTATTATTAATCTTTTTGCACCAGGGTATGAATTATCACCTACTGCAGCAGCAAACTTTACACGCAGAAACCTGGCTGACTACCTCCGGAGTCGGGTAAGTAAGAACTGAGGTGTGTTACCAATGCCTGGAGTTACTAAGGCCTCTCTTAAAAAATGAATCGTATATTTGCCCTTTTCCACCTCACCCTTATATATCCCCTCTTACTCCAGTGGCTTTTTTGGCATTTTTAAACATTTTCCTCCCCTCCCTTCCCATCCTCCCAGGCTCTCAGTTTAAACATGTGCATACACGTGACTGAGTGCTCCAGGGCAGAAAACACAAAATAAAATAGCATGCGACTGGCAAACCTCATCTCAATTTTTCTGAAATAAGCAAACGATTTTGAGTATGGTTGGAGTTAGTGAAGCCACGTGTTCTGCACTGTGTATAGTACAGAGCTGGTACCACTGAGGGAAGGATGGGGGGGCCATGAAAGGGATGGAGGAGGAGTTTCTTTTTTCTTGCACGTGTCAGTTATGCACTTCAAGCACCGAGAGAGAACCTGGAATTACAAGACACAAAAGATCATTTTAGCAACGTCATATTTAGCCTAACTTTTTTTTCCCCTTAATCCAATTTTTTTAAACGCCTTATCTGAAAACATCCCCCAGAGTCTTAAACTTGTAGTTACTGTTCTTGTAAGATGCATGTGTTTACATCCTCCTTTTGAGGTTTCAATAGCTTAATACAGGTGACCCCTGCTTAATGCTGTTTTGCTTAGTGCTATTTCGCTATAACACTCATTTTAAATTGATACCCAATTCCACTTAGCGCTCAGCAAGTTTCATTATAGTGTTTGCGGTTGCCATCTTGGGTCATTAAAAACACTTGCAGTCGCCATCTTGGGTCATCAGAAACTTTCGGTTTCGCTTAACGCTGTTTTTTTCAGGACCCAATTAAGAGTGCTAAGCGGGGGTTGCCTATAATACTCTCTTTAATGCTATATTATGCACTAAACAACTTTCAAGTGATATGAATAAAGTATTACTGTAGTCCTGTTGTGCTTGTCTGTTTGTGCTAGTTCTGTTTTGATCTCTTTAACAAACTCTTATTGATGGAAGACTGCAGACCTTTGATGCCTCAAGATTTGTGCTTATATCATTTAAGTAATGGCTATTGCACCATTTCGGGTTGTTCTTAGCTGTAAGGCCAGAACATTGCACAGCTGTGACATCTCTTGTAAAATGTTACACGTTAAAGAACTAGAACTATTAACTTTTAACAGGATTACTTGTATTCTAAATGGAACAAACAGTGAAAACTGTGCTATGGACTACTTTTGCAAGTGGGTGCCTTATAGTTCTACAGCTGTACAGTTCTGTTATCGTTTTGATATTGATTTTTATCTATTTTCCATTAGGAAATACTTGCATACAACACTGTACATACACACTATAATACCTTTAAAAAACAAACAAACAACAAGTTGTAACTGTTGGTAACAAACAGTTGTGTAACAAGCTTCTCCTTTTAAGTTTTATTTCATACATGGGGCATGTCTGCTTTTGAACTTCATATAGTAAACTTGTAACTTAGACTTATTCCACAAATTTCAGTTACTTAAACTGCTTTTCAACAGGGGTTTTCCAAGGAATTTGAACAACCAAGAGTGTGTTGTAATGTCAAGGGTAGGATATGGACTTACGGCTTAAAATGCTTTATTATTGAAGAACTAAAGACCCTATTTGGAGAAGTAGCCTGATCTAATTGATTGCCTTGGGGAAAAAAAATGTGGTATAGGAGCTGGAACATGACAGCCTAATGTCTTGGGTAAGACCAAGTATCTCCCAATGACTCA